TGTCCACAGTGATTTAAGCAGCAGCTCACATGCTACTGCGCTTTGTAGTCTGATTCCATGCTTAAATAATGAGGTGTTTCTGTACCTCCATCCTCAGAAATCCCCCCTTCATTCCCTTGGCCAGAAGTGGGTTCAGGACAAACAAAAGGAAGCTTTTATTCACACACTGCATCATGAAGCAAATGAATCTGAGGACCAAACTAGGTGAGATGACAGGAAATCCATAATCAGATCTCCTGTGGTTTGCTTGTTTTTAAGGGAAGAACGCCTCAATTGTATCCAGGCTGCAGTACTGGGAGAGGATGGGTGAATTTGCTTACCACCCTCACTATATTGTTTTCCAAATCTGAATTGCCTCCCTTTTAGAGCTGCATGTATATACTTGCCTCTGTTTTGTGCCCTGTGGTGCAAATAGCAGCTCTGGGGTGAATGTGTGTGTTTGTTCATGCATGTTCAGATTTGAAAATGGCAGAAGGGCTAACTTGCCCAGTCCTCTCCCCTGCCAGCTCAGTGATGTGTTCACTTTTGATCTACATTTAGCCTTCCCCCCTTCAAAAACTGTGTGAGATCTGACCAGTCTTATCCAGAGGCCAATCTAGATAGGATGACTTGGGAACTGGTGTTCTTCAAGCCTGTTCTTGACACAATCATACTTGCCCTGCATGATCAGAGTCATAGCCTTGATCTGGGATTAATCTGATTGTCAGGTTGCTGCATTCCCAATAATATTTGGTGCACCAACTTCATCCTTTGTTGAACTATCACAATCCTGACAACATGCACATGATATGTACAGGGGAGGGTGATGCCCAGTTGCCAGAGATGATGTAAGCATCAGTAGCCAGTCATGTTGACTACTCTACAGGGGATGGAGGCAGGAGCGTGTTCTCTTATCCTTCACTGAGGAGGTCCTTTCACATGTCCCCTGGTCCAGAGCCAGTGTGGTGTAGTGGTTAAGAGCGATAGTCTTGTAATCTGGGGAACCGGGTTCGTGTCTCCGCTCCTCCACATGCAGCTGCTGGGTGACCTTGGGCCAGTCACACTTCTCTGAAGTCTCTCAGCCCCACTCACCTCACAGAGTGTTGTGGGGGAGGAAGGGAAAGGAGAATGTTAGCTGCTTTGAGACTCCTGAAGGGGAGTGAAAGGCGGGATATCAAATCCAAACTCTTCTTCTTCTTCCTAGGATATATGGGGGCGAGAACCAAGACTTTCTCAGCTGAGGCACCTGGTCTTTGGAACTTCATGCTCTCCCAGCTTTCAGCAAGCTGATAAAATCCTTCCACTTTAAGAAGGCATTTGTTGCTCTACAAGGTTTTTTTTATTTTAAAAAATCCAATTCAGTTTATACAATTTACGTATCATTTCATGCTGCCAGGAGGAGTCCCAAAGCCATTTCCAGGGACAATAACCTACAAAATGTAATATACAATAAAACTCAATTAAAACAAAACTAATATTCTACAAGTGATCATCCACAAAAGTCACCCGACAATGTAAAATAACCACCCTGCCCATGTAAGAATGAACTTCAGAAGTAGACAACCTAAAGCCAGCGCTGTCCTATTTGGCATCTAACCATTTTGGTCAAAAGTTCTGTGAGAGCTCCTAGCTTTATATGACTTTATTTAAAGAAAAGGATTAGACAATTGTGTGGAGCAAATAAATGGCAGTAAGCTAGTAAAGCTAGTTCAAAAGTAGCAAATGTCTGATTACTAGATGCCAACAACAGGGAAAGGTTATTTCCATCATGCCCTGCTTGTGAAGTCGCAGGGACCTTGTGGCTTGCTGCTGTTTGGCAATAAAATGCTATACTAGACCATAAGTAGAGCCAAATTATCTGGTCACCACAGTGGTCAACCAAGTGTCTATGGGAAGCCCACAAGAAAGACCTGATTGCAACAGGTCTTCATCCACTTGTGATTCCCAGCAATTGTTATTCAGAGGCATGCTGCCTCCAGCGAGATGGTTCTTTGGTTGGATACAATAAGGCAGTTCTTCAGCTATGGCTAGTCTACACGTGCTCCAGTGTCTGTGAATCTTACGGGCCCCAAACAGACTATATCACTTGTAGATCCCTCTTTCTGAAACACTTTCTGTTATCCCCAGCTATTAAAGGCAGTTTAATGGCAAAAATTCGACCACCCGCTACTGTAAAATGACTACTCCATGCAGGCATTGGCATTCCAGCCTTGCAAATCCCCTCCTCCATGCGTGCCTACTCCTTCATCTCTTAAATGCAGAGGCAATCTGTCTTCTTCCTGGGAGCCTTGACAGAATCGATGTTATATGTGATGTGCAACAATTTATGAAGCAACCATGAGCACCTGAGTCCACATCTGAGGAACATTTTGCAATTTCTCTGTGAAGGTAATATAGTGTTATATGACTTATGACATTTAACATGCATGGATTCCACACACGGTTTATTCATAATAAGTAGCACCATTTCCCAGAGTTTATGACTGAAGTTATTTGTGATGACTGACCATTTCCTGGGCAGCAGTAATAAAAATATAACACTCCTACATACTTTGTGTAGAGCAGTCCCCATAAACAGGGTGGTTTTTTTTGCAGGCTGTTATCCTGCTCTCCCCCTCCCTAGTTCTCTTTAAATGTCAGACAGCTGATGGTTTTGGCTTGGAAATAATAGCCGAATGAAACCAGTCAAGAACAGCAGACAAAAGCAAGGGGGAGGGGAAGGAGAGGAAAGGAAGAAAGGGTTCAGGATGATGAATAGACAAAGTACACAACATGATGAGATCAGCTAGCTTTCCAACACCTGCACACCAGCTTGTTCCACCTGTCTTCCTTAGACCATGCACGGATGTGGAACGAAAAGTCAAATATTAATTTGTTCCTTGTTGATGCTCCGGGCTGACAAAAGTGTTTTGGTTCCACCTGACTAACATCCAATATTTGAAAATGAATAAATTGCATCCTCTTTTGGCAAAAGGAAACATTAAATAACAGAAGGGCATGTTTATCACTGAATCTCTGCCTCTTCTTCCGGTGGGGTCCTGAATGATGAAAGGAGCTGTTGGATGATGTGCGCAGTATTGGGGTGGGGGAAAGAAGAGGGAATTAAGATCACAGCCAACATGTTTGAACATGAAAAAGAGACAAATATGTTTCTGTGCCTAATTGACTTAGAACCATTTTATCTAGAGGGCTCTCTTTTGCCACTCAGACCCCAAGATCATATATGGGTGCCTTTCTGGGGGTGGTTCTCACCAAAACAGTGGATGGCTGTGAAAGAAAGGGACTTTTCAGTTGTGTAGCCCTGGTTGTTGAATACCCTCCCTAGAAAGCCTTGCCTGCCACTTAAAGGTTGGTCTTTTTAACACCAGGCAAAGACTTTCTATTTTCTCAAGCTTACCGTGTTATAGGGCTTTGCAAATCTCTGGAACAACACTGTTTTCTCCCTTGGGGGTTTTTATTTTGGTTTATTTTAATGCTGTATTATATATGTTTCTAATTTTATATCCATGTTGTATTTTATAGGGCCTTTTTTTAGGGGGTGGGATCTGTATACTGCACAGAAACACCTTTTTGTTAATGGGCAGCATGAAAAGAAAGAAGCAAATGCATTATTGCCCTAAGGTTTAATTTTCTATGTTCCACAATTCTGGATTTTATCCTGCTTTTTCAAAGCTGTTTATTTAAAGGTTTAAATCATCTCTGAGACCTTAGAACAAAATCAGGGTGGTGCTATTTTGATGTAGAATTCCATTCCCAGCATTGCAGTTGTGAACAGCAATAAATAGGCTTCCCAATTCCCCCAAGCATTGAACTGAATCCTTTGTAGATTTCCTGGTCAGATAGCACAGCAGCTGTATATCTAAACCCATGTCATTTTGTAAAAGAGTCACAAGGGGGAACCATTGTCAACAGCATCAGGAGAAGATGATCTTAGATGGTGGCAGAACATGACCCTGAAGCTGAACAGGGAAGTGGGTATCGCTGGATCACCGCTTCCTCACTTGAAGGCACCCAATCTTTGAACTGTCACAAAGATATGAAAGCTTGATAAAGAGTTTTCAGACCAACTGAGGCCTGGTCAAATAATATTACCAGCTCAGCCTCAGGTGCTTTTGTTTTGCATAAGCGGTATCAACAATCTGTGACTGAGTCCCAATGACATGAAGCAGATAACCCATCTCGGTTGAGTCCCTGAGCCCAGCTGGGACCCAATAGCAGTGTGTGGTGCCATTTTGTTGACATGTCCATCCATCCATTGTACTGTACAGTGCTGGTGGTCAGTGATGCAATCCCACTGATAGTACTTCACATAGGATCTCAGGAGTTTTTGGACTGCTTGAAATAGTGCAAAGACCCTGGACAGGGATGGATGGATCTGTATATTTTCAGTCTATATCTAATTGCATGCCTTTATTCATAAGTCCACACCATCTTGTTTTTGCATCAATCAGGGATTTTTAAAAACTTGTATGTAAGAACTTATTCAACTAGAATTTTAGCACAGAATATGTACGGTATTTTAAAACCTATTGCCGCTTGAGAGACACATTTCTAAACATTATACCCTAAAACACACATTTTTACAACACCTTTTAGTACAGGCCACTCCTCATTTATGTAGGGGTTACGTTTTGAGGCACCACACATTTATGTTACATAGTGTATATTAGGAACACCATTGAAAAAGCCCATAAACAGCCTTGAAACCTCTGGAAACCCTTGAAAAACCCTTTTAAGAACCTGCAGCACTTACCAGATGCCAAATTGAGCCAAACACTCCCACAATCGCTCCCTCCCAACCTCCTTGCTCCAACTCTGCATACCTAAATGGTCAGTTTAGGCCTGTGGGATTGCTAGGTGCTGTTTTCACACCATTTTTGCCACTCTTCTAGGGATGCTTTCGATCCTTCTCATGCCACTTCTGGTTTCACAGCGCCGTGTGTTGTGCGGGCACATGTGCCTTGAATCTTCATAAATGGGGAGTTGCCTGTATCTGAGTCAAGAACGGTATCGCCTTGAGAGGAAAGGATGTAGCTCAGTGGAAGGCTATCTCTTCTGTATTCAGAAGGTTCCAGGCTCAATTCCTGGCATTTCCTAGTGGGGCTGGGAATGTCCCCACCTGAAACCTCAAAGAGCTACTACCAGTACAGTGGTACCTCAGGTTAAGTACTTAATTCGTTCCGGAGGTCCATACTTAACCTGAAACTGTTCTTAACCTGAAGCACCACTTTAGCTAATGGGGCCTCTTGCTGCCGCCGCGCCGCCGGAGCACGATTTCTGTTCTCATCCTGAAGCAAAGTTCTTAACCCAAGGTACTATTTCTGGGTTAGTGGAGTCTGTAACCTGAAGCATCTGTAACCTGAAGCATATGTAACCTGAGGTACCACTGTATTCAGTATTCAGTGCAGACCTAGATGAGCCAGTGGTGCTTCTGACTTGGGACTCAGCTATACAGCTACAAATATAATGTTTTAAGTGTGTTTTAAGTGCATTATACAAATGTGACATAGATGGCGATTGTGAGCTTATGGTAAATTCAATATACTTTGTAAAACTTTTTTTTTTAAAAAGTATTTTCACAGCGTTTGTTTTTTTAAATATGTGTCTACATTCCACCTTGGTGTAAGGCAGTTTCCTATGCCTTTAAATTGTTCCTATTGCAAAATTTGGAGAAGTGTGAATTTCAAAGGATAATTATGTTCCAACCTGACTATTAGTTCAGGAGGTGTGAATTATCTCAGTTTGCTTTAAAATGTGAACAAATCAGAGTTATGTTCCAACCCTAATCCAAGGACTAAGGGAAAGAAGCAGATTTTCAGGTACTTGTGCTCATCAGGGAGAACCAAGTTGTCCAGCATAGCCCTATATCCTAAGTAGGCATAGGCAGACAGCAAATCTGGAATGGAACGTGTTTCTAGGATGGGGATAGGTAAAGGTAAAGGGACCCCTGACCATTAGGTCCAGTCGTGACCGACTCTGGTGTTGCGGCACTCATCTCGCTTTATTGGCCGAGGGAGCCAGTGTACAGCTTCCGGGTCATGTGGCCAGCATGACTAAGCCGCTTCTGGAGAACCAGAGCAGCGCACGGAAACACCGTTTACCTTCCCGCCGGAGCAGTACCTATTTATCTACTTGCACTTTGATGTGCTTTCGAACTGCTAGGTTGGCAGGAGAGGATGGGGATACTTGCCTGTTATTGCAAGGAAGGGCAGGAAATATACTGTTGTTGACAGAGAGTTATCATAGAGTATCATAGTTGTAGAGTTGGATGGGACCCCAAGAGTCATCTAGTCCAGCCCCCTGCAATGCAGGAATCTTTGGTCCAACATGGGACTTGAACCCACAACCTTGAGATTAAGAGTCTCATGCTCTTCCGACTGAGCTACAATTCTTCTGAGAGGGATGCACTGCCCACCTGACCAGATCCATGTTGCAGTGTGTCTGTCGGTATTTGAGCACTGTTTAAAATGGTTTCCTGCCACTGCTGTGAACTGTGTGCTGTCCCATTCCAAAAGGATAAACATGTGCAAATGTTTAACTAGAAGGTGCACTGACACTCTACCTTTGCCTTTTCTTCTGCGCTGCCTTTTAGAAACTTCACTGAGAAGCTGTGACACTGTGCTGGACTAGGGGGAGATTGGCCAAGCATTTTCCATGTACCTTCCCTAATCACATTAGCGCAGAGTCATCGAGTATGACATCCTCCTTGCATTTTTCATCCGCTGCCTCGGTGGTGAGAGGTATGAGCCCTCAACACCTTTAAATTACGGCTCCAAGCTATTTGCATATAATTCTACAATATTTATTAGTCACATTCAACCCTGGAAGGAGCCCCCGTTTGTGCATAAAACATTATCCATTTTATGCCAAAGTAAGACCTCAGTTTGTGATCCATCATAATGACATTTAGTTGTATAAAAGATGGCCTTCCACTAGGTGTACACGAGACACAAATAAAACCAGGAGATTACCAGGATTGTTGGTGATACATCAAAGAAAGGAGAGTGTTGGTGTTTTACATGTTAAATCAGTACCAAGCAGCATGTATTGTTCCCAAGTTCAAACTTGCATTTCATTGGAATCAATTTCTTTTCTTCCCTTTTTTTGTAGAAGAGCTGGGAGGAAGTAATAAATCCCTGTCAGGAGGGAAGCTATTTATAGGTTCCTAAATCAGATTATTCTGAGGTTGGTGACTTTTACATAGTCAGTTAACTCTTTCTGACATGCCACATTCAAGGTTTGTGTAACACATATTCCTACATTTAACTGAAATTAAATCTGGACAAGTCAGAAGTGCTATTGGTCAACACACGTAGAGGTCTTGGGATATGATGTTAGACTTTTCTGGACTGAGTTGCCCCCCCACCAAAGATCCGGTTTGTAGCTTTGGAGTACTCCTTGCTACTAAGGACTTACTTGTCTGTGCACCAGCTGATGACACACCAGCTCTGCTCATTTCTGGTACTGTCAGAGCTGACTGTGGTCCTACCTGCAATAAAAGGTAAAAGTACCCCTGACCACTCACGGATGACTTTGGGGTTGCACGCTCATTTCGCTCCATAGGCCGAGGGAGACGGTGTTTGTCCACAGACAGCTTCCAGGTCATGTGGCCAGCATGACTAAGCCACTTCTGGCGAACCAGAGCAGCGCACGGAAATGCCGTTTACCTTCCCGCCAGAGCGGTACCTATTTATCTACTTGTACTTGACGTGCTTTCAAATTGTAGGTTGGCAGGAGCAGGGACTGAGCAACGGGAACTCACCCCGTAGCGGGGATTTGAACCACCAACCTTCTAATCGGCAAGCCCTAGGCTCTGTGGTTTAGACCACAGCACCACCCGCATCCTTGCTACCTGCAATAGTTGCATCTTAATTGGATTTCATGGGACTGTCCCTGGAAACCACTTTGGAACATCGATTGGTGCAGAATACTGCTGTTAAAATTTTGATTGAGGGCATATGCTGTGACCATGTGACCCTCTTATTGTACTGGCTGAACTAGCTGCTAGTTTGAGTGCAATTCAGGGCACGGGTTATAATCTTTAAAGAGCTAAACAGCCCTGGGACCAAGCTACTTGAATTCATGGAGGTTAAGGCAATCAGCAGCTACTGGCCACAATGACTATGGTCTATATCCGTTGTCAGAGACAGAATACCTCTGAATACCAGTTGCTGGAAATCACAAGTGAGGAGAGCATTGTTGTACTCATGTCCTGCTTGTGGGATTACCGTAGGCAACTGGTTGGCAAGTGTGAAAACAAGATACAGGACTAGGGGATACTTTGGCCTGATCCAGGAAGGCTCTAAAGCTCATGTTCTTATTCCCTTTCCTTCTGAGTTCAAGCTGGTGACTAGGCATGAGAGGCCTTTCTCTGATGCAACTTCTTGTATGTAGAACTCCCTGCCCAAGGCGTTTAGCTTATCTTCCTCTTTATTTGTGCTCTGCCAGAATTTGAAGACTTTTCTGTTTAAACAATAAATAAGACAATAGAAACCTTTGGTTCAATTGTATTCTTAGCTCTGTCCCCTGGGGCCCATTTTTAGTAGCCCTTTTAGTCTTGAATTGTGTTGGTATTTATCCAGCTGTTTTAATAATGCCTTCTAGTATTTCGCTAGCCACTCCTTTCAGAGGGGAAAAGCAGGGCATTTTTGTACAAATAAATATATCAACTTACATAGTTAACATTTTTTTAAAAAATCAAATGTAAGTTGCTGTGAAATTGAGAAATGCGCATAAACAATAGTATTCCAAAATGACAAAATGTGTATTATTAAATCTGTGTTGATTTAGAAGAAGGATGTGTTTGGAAATTATTTGCTTTCATTTCTTCTCCCCTCTCCTTTTAAAACTCCTCTATAAGGGAGTGAATAGCTCTGCTCCCAACCTTTACTCACAAAGGCAGAATCTGTGTTGGGATTTCATATTCATACATGTTGCAGGATTCCATGTCACAGTTGCCACAGCAACTGTAACTTGGACACATGGCATATATAGGCAGGCAGGTTCTCTGGCAGCACTGCAAGACAAGAGGCTTCTAAAAGAGGGATTCTGCAGGGCTATTTATTTACTTTTTATGGTCTACAGCAATGTGACTTGGAGCACAATGCAGAATTTTCACTGGCTTCAGTACAAGCACCCACACTTAAAGTTGGGCACATGCATAATTCCTGGCTTTGACACTGAGCTGGTGCAATTTTTACACCTACTGTATCCTGCTACTTTGAATTGTTTCAAGTGTTGCCATGCTGATCCCCTCCATATGTTCACTGGCCCTTCCAGTAGAAAGCTTGATGGCATCATCAGGAAGGGACAGCTTTGTTTGTGAGTTAGTTGTAGCTAAGCACTTTAAAAACTTGGACGTGTCTCAGCTCTGCAAATGGTATGGTCCACTTTCTCCTTTCTCATCTGAGAGGAAACAAGCAATGTGCCTACAATGTGAAGCTTATTCAGTTAAAGGCTTTTGGGGTCAAGGACAAAATGCAAACATAGCCTAGAATTGGCGGGGCCTGTTGCATCGTAATTCATAATTTGCAATACTATGTGAATTAATGGCTTGCTCAGAAGAGGTGCTTGATGGGTCTATATATAGCACCACTAATACTTTGCAGTGGGTCGACTTCCTACATCTCAGTTGGCTCAGTATTTCCATGCTTTCTGTGCCAGTGCTTGGAAAAGGTTTGTCTGTTTTCCAAGCGTTCTCTCCCAGCTTGTAATTTTGATTCCTTTGCGTTGATGGTGTCAACATACATGCCCATTACTGCATTGCTTCAGTTCTTTACTGTTCCCTTTCTTCTCAATCTTACACTAGTTTGAAGCTGCAGTCCTAGGCAGCATCTGAGGCCCCTTCGTCATGTGCCTCCTCTGCGAGTGGTCCAGAGGGTGGCGACACAAGAATGGGCCTTTTCTGTGGTGGCTCCCCATTTGTAGAATGCTCTTTCCAGAGAGGCTTACCTGGTACCTTCATTACATGTCTTTAGGTGCCAGGCAAAATATTCCTCTTCACTCACACCTTTGGCTAATTAAAAAATCTATAGCCTTTTAAATTGTGTGTGTGTGTAGGGGGTATTATTTTTATTTGTTAGTATGATATACATTTTTTTATATTGTGAACCGCCTTGTGATCCTTGGATGAAGGACAGTACAGAAATAATAATAATAATAATAATAATAATAATAATAATAGTAATAGTAATAATAATAATAATAATAATAATAATAATAATAAATTCTGAGCAGACATGTTTAAGGTTTCCGTGTTAGTTTGTGTATTATTTTTGTTTTGGGAGAAAAATGCTTGGTGTTCTTGAATTTTCTGCATTTTGAGGAAATCTCTCAGATTACAATCATATTTCCACCTCCATCTCCCTTTGAAATGCAGTTGTTGCTGGGCCTCTTGATGCTTAGAGTGTTGGACTAGAACCTGGGAAACCAGGGTTCGAATCCCAACTTGGCATGAGGCTCACTGGGTGACCTTGGGCCAGTCACTGCCTCTCAGCCTAACCTACCTCACAGAGTTGTTGTGAGGATTAAACTAGGGAAGAGACTAACTATAGAACACCTTGGAACACCTGTTTGGTTCTGGCAAATGGGGAAAGAGAGAACAATCAGTGTAATTGGTGAAATGGACACAGAGGCTACAAACACAGTTAGATGGGTCCTCCCCCCCCCCCGCCCCACCGAATCCTACAACCATGAGTTGCCACGTAGATGGTGCAGAAGACTTGGAGTTTGTACCCCAGGAGTATAATGTAATTAACCTGCAGACAACTCTCCTAAATATTCAGGACAGAGAACGCTTTGGCCACTAGACATGGTAGTTGGAGAGAAAAGCCACCCTCACATCAAATAATTTTAGAATTTTGTTCTTTTCCAAGGGGTGGGAGGAGATACCAAGATTTGAAATTAAATTTATTGCTTAAAATTTGTGGTTTGGAGCTCACATTCAGGGAGATGGAGATGGCAGTGGAACCTCTGGAGTTCATGGAAAGAGGACAACTTCAGTCTTCCTAATGGTAGGGTCAACTAAGACAGTGAAGTGCTCCTAGGATTTGGAGCTTTGCCACTCACCAGGTAGGCCATTGTCTCCCCTAAACTGGAGTGATTTTTACTGGACTGGAAGTATCTACTATGTCTAAGTCCTGGCTCTTGCTCAGAGACTTCCTATGGCTCAGTACTGGCAAAATGACATAGTTGTGCCTTCCCAAGTCTACGCACATGATAACTATTATTGCTGTATATGCACATTATCATTGAATTATGCTGAACACAAGACTCGCAACCCCAACATTTCCCACACTTAAGCATCTTGAAATCTCAGGCATGACGCTGATGAAATATAACTTCCCCTGCTGTATCTAAACATATCTTTATTATTGTAATAACTGTTGAAGT